GCAAGAATGACCTGTGACCTGTCATTAACAAGGGAGTGAGGCAAGCCGCCGCAAAGCACTTGGTTCTCAATCACAGAGGCAAGTATCACGCTCTGGCTGCAAAAGCCAAAATTGGCAAGACAACACGAATCTCCGAGCTAAGCCCAGAACGAGGATCATCGTAGTTTGCAAGCTAGCATTTTGCAGGAACTCCACAGGGTTGACAAAAAGCTTGCAAGTCCAGGCATCGGGATAAGCATAGACAAAGTCAAACTTGGTTTGCTAAACTTGGGCTATTTGGCAAGTCGACAAGAGTGGATTGCAGTACGGAGACAGTCACATGAAATTGCTGATACTCGTGTAGGCCCATCATGTAGGCCTGAAGCAAAGACGGTTGAAGTTGCGCAGTTGGGGGGAGAAGGGGATGTCAAGCACGTGTCTTGCATGGTGACGAGCCCCCCACGGCGAATGTCAACAGCTTTTCGTCGGGCTTGCCATCTGTTTATTGTGTCGTCGATCCCGACGCGAGTAGGTGCTGCTTGCCTGTAAGGGGTCATTTCAAAAGGGATTCTCTGCAGCGGGCATTAACCTGTTTCCTGTAGATCCCGTAGTCTTGGACTCTTCAACGTGCTAAAGTACTGTGTGTTTTGAGGGGGTTGACTTGAATGTTAATTAACAAGAACAGGCCTGCTTCTGACGCGGACAAGGCCTTCGACTTCTTCAACAGCAGGAGGCAGGAGGACATTGCATCAAAGGAGGATTTGATCGAAGTGTTTCGGACTTCCAAAGTGAAGTCCGCGCATTACAGTAAGCTGCAGAACTTACGGGCTTGGCAGCGTGGACCAGCTCTGAGCTGGGCAGCTGGTGTCATAATGGGCGTGTGATGGCGTGTGGTGCTGAAATGTCCTCGCCTGTAGCGATTCAATCGCTCGCAGGACACGCTCCAGCATGTCGTAGCACTCCAAGGCCTCTCCACGCTCTCAGAAAGCGCGGAGGCGCACTCTGGCGCAACTTCACGGAGCCTCGCTCTGCAAGATCATCTCGAAGACCTTCTTCGATTGCAAACGCGGCACTCAGGCAGCACAGGCAGGCAGCAGGCCAGTCTCAGGAGGGTGCGCTGCTTCCCGAGATGTAACGAGTGGCCTCCAAAGCAGATCCGATGCGATGCGATCTTGGATCAGATTTGAGGTGCAGGCTGCGCCTGTGCAATGAGGCTGTTGCAAATCTGACGCACGATGACGGCCAGCCGTGCCAAGGAGTTGTAGTACTTGGAGTGCCTGAGGAGTGAAGCGACTGAGACTTCTAGCTGTGTGCTGAGATCCGTCGCTGAGAGCAGTGGCCGCCAGACCAAGAGCAGAACGTGGAAGACGTCATCAAAGACTTGCTCCAAGACCTGCAACACCAAAACCGCGAGCCGCCAACCCTCTGCTTGGCGGCCCTGCAAGCGGCCGCCTCGAAGTCCTGGGTCTCGTTGAGCAACGCGTTGACGTGGCTCTCCAAGGCTTTCAAGAACTTCACGTTGTCGTTCGCCTCCTCCCGACCGTCCTCACACTTTGAGTTTGGGCTTTGGGTCAGTTTGGGGGACTCGGCAAGGGAGGTGTGAACACCTGAGAACACCTGGGCCCGGGCCTCCACCTCCTTCTGCAACCGCGCGAAAGGCGCCACGTAAGTGCTCTTGTTCGCATCTAAGAAACGAAGCACCTCCACGAACTTAGTCGCAGACTGTCGCGAGGATGCCATCAGCCGGGGACCCTGCACGCTTCACTCCCTCCATCTGCAACTGCATGTGGATCGAATTCAAGTTGTTCGCCTCAGCACGAGGCACCAGCAGGGTACACGTGCTCAAGGCCGTGCTAGCGGCCCTCGAAGGGCCCGGACCCTGCTCCGCCAGAACTGAAGCTCCGCATCCGGCTGAGGGCTGCCTTCGCGGAAGATGTGCTCCGGCTCCTCGCAACCAAAACCCCACCTCACCCCCACCAACTGCCCCGCAGTCTGCTGCTTCTGTCCTGCTTCAGTACGTACCTGACCTGCTTTGTCCAGGTAATGACCTGAGGCTCCAAGCAGAAGGCCAAAGGCCAGTCGCAAGACTTCACAAGTGCCGCGCGGCTCCTTCGAGCACGTGGACCCGATCCTGGTCGCTTTTGCCAGAAGGGCAAGTTTGGGGCACATGCGTGTCCCGCGCGCGTGCGCGCGCGACGTGCGCCAATGCCTTGCTGGAAGCACTGGCCGAACCCTTGCCTCGGGCGAGGCAAGCCATGGGAAGAGCCCTCAGACTACGCACTCTCGCGAGCCAAGCGGCCTGGCCCCGCTCCCTCCTGTCACAGCTTCCGCCACCCCACGCACACGCGCGCGTCCGCACGTAACGTGCGGCGGAATAGCACCTGGACGGCCTCCCTGGGCGGCAGGGGCAGCAAGGTCTGGCCCTGGCAACATGGTTGCTTGGGACTATTTTCGCACAAGGCACAGCAGCGCAGCTCAGCCTGTCGGAGGCCCACGGTCACGTGCAGGCTCGCGAGGAAGCCTGGCGGCAGAAAACGTGGTGTTTGTGTGTGTGTGTGCGTGGAACACCTGTTTGCCAAGGTCCGTCAGTCCTTTCTACAAGTGTTTCGCAGGGGCATGTGGCACTCATGTCCTACCACATGCAACGAAGCTGTGGACATGAGTGGGAAGCGAAAACTGATCACTCTCGTGTACCTGCAGAGAGCCGCTCATGGGTCACAGGTGTGGCAGCTTGAGGACTCTTTAGTGAATGTGGCGAAGGGCTAAGCCAAGAACCCCAGTAGATGTTGTTACTGCCCAGTGGCTTAGAATCGTACACTCCTACACCTCTATGTTGAAAGACTGAGTTCACAGACATTATTACCAGTCCAGAGGGAGGACTGCACGAGTGTGCTGTAGACGGTTTTCGTCGATCGTGTCGTCTGCGGTAGGGTTGCCTACTGAATGGCCTAGTTGCAGTGAAGGACCCTGATCGGTCCAAGACCTGACCGGCTTTAAATCAAACCCAGACCTGTTGGTCTTGATTCAGCAAATACTTTTCGGAGTAATCATGATTTCGCGAAAGACTTGATTGCTTAGTTTTCGACAGGACTGAGCATCATTTGGTGCACTGTTTCGACAGCCTCGAGACCAGTTAGGCCCAGGCTCTGTTTCAGTCGTCAGCTTTCATGCTCAATTCTCTTCTGGACAGACTCAACAAATCCAACCTGAAGCCATGGCCTCTTGGGGATCATGGTCAACCAGTGAGTCAAGCAACAGTTGGGGCAAACTGGTCAACTTCTGACCAGCACCCAATGGAACAAGGACAGCACTTGGAATTCCAAGAATCCTGAGTCAGATTGGAAGACTGTGGCTAGTCCCACATACCAATCTGCTACGCTGCCTTGGTCGTTTGTTTCGGACAGCCAGCATTACGACAAAACGCCTCTGGGCAAAGGAGCACATGTCTTGCACAAACTGGTGCAACCGACAGAGTGGTCCCGGAAATCGGGCCTGGAGGGCCGAGATGTCACCGACATCCACCGAGGATTGGGTGATTTCTCGTTTAGACCATTGACTATTGTCGGAGGGGCGACATCAGAGCATCGTCTGGACTCGCAGTGGCCAACAGTCGGTGCTCATGACAGCTCTGCTAAAGAAAATTCGCGAGAGCGGTGTTTCTATCGACGATGCTGCTAAAGCATGTCACAGCACGGCTGCACCAGACAAACATAAAGAAGCCATGCGTGTCACGGAACCGCTTGCTCAAGAGCTACTGGATTGCATTCTGGTCAAAGCGCCAGTCAAGAATTCAGGTGCATCTGAGGAGCTCGCCAAAGCCAAAGCCAAACTGGCTGAACATGGCATTGCTATGTCTCCTTGAAAGCGCAAATCTACTGAAGAATCTGAGCAGGAATCGGACAAACGGGCGAAGCCCGGAATGCCGATTGTCGAGTCGGATGCCCAGAGCGATGCTCAGAAGCTCCTCGTGGATCCTCAAAGGAAGCTGGATTCTCGCCCCACAGGAGCCACCGGTGATCATGTTACTGAGCGGCTGACCACCTATGAGACCAAGCCGGAGTTTGAAGGCAAGTATCAGCAGCTGGTCAAGCATGTACAGGTTGTCCAGAAACTTCTCAAATCAGAAGTTTCTAAAGATGAGATGGTGTCTGCTGCAGTCACCTTTGGACTTGGCTCAAAGCTTGCATCTCGCTTGTCGGTTAAGAATCTTTCCACGGCTATGGCGGTAGCACAATTTAAAGCTGCCTGACTAGCTGTGCAATGCCAGCACATGGCTGCTTCAGAGAAGCATGCAATCAAAGCACAGATTTGCATGCTAGGCGAAGCCGTGACATTCTTCATTCATCATTGTCCTGGCTTCAACAAAGCTTCTGCATTGTGGGCCCAAGGCTTGCTGCATTTGCTGCTTCTGCTTTACTTTCAAGAAGGCTCTCAAGCATCGCATGCTGAAAGCATTAGACAGAATCTTCAGTGTTTTCGGGTCCACCCGTTAACATATACTTGGCCGCGATTTCAAGTTCAAAATGCGGTATACATGAATGTTCCTGTGGATTGGCGCCATTTTTCAAGTATTAAACAGGAACACTGCTTCCCCAAGCTTCGGTTCGGAAGTATCAAGATGGATCAGGCAACACGTGCTAGAAATCAAGACCATTCTGATCCCCTTTCACCTTCCGGTGTGCAAAGTCAGGGAGCAACCGCACCAATCCCTGAAGGACTTCCTGCACAGTTTCAAGGAATGGGACAAATGGCTGCAACATCACACTGTAGGTGAAGCACCATGTCCCTGCCATCGTATGCGATATGCACATGCACTGCCAGAGAAGTGCCTCACTCGAGGCCATGTCGTGCCAGGCATTGAACAGCTAGGATGCTTGCACCGCTCCTTTGAGAAACTCGGAGATGACAGTGCTCCTTCAGCCTTTTTTCCTGCAAAGCATGAATCTTTCCAGCATAACACTCGAATGTTTGCGTCTTGGAGACGCAAACATTGTCTTCCGAAGAGTCTAGACAAAGTTTCGCAAGTGTTTCTCGAGCATCAATGGAGCAAGCACGTTCAACACTTGAGCCACGAACAGCGGCTCACATGGAATGATGTCTCCGCAGCTCGTCATCTTTTGCGACGAGAATTTATTGTTCATTGCGAGGATCATGAACCGAACCATCTCATGATCTTCTGTCCCAGGTTTTACCTTCAGGCAGCCATGAAGACATGGCAAGATCCAGAAGTCTTTGAACCTGTGGAAGGTTCACAGGAACAGTGGAACAGTCAAGTTTTTCAGCAGATCCCTGGATCACTGAAAAGACGATATCGCTGGGGTATGAATGCCTCTGGCTCCCTGCCTGTTGGCTTTGTGTTTTTGAAACGCAAGAAGGAGTTTTTGAAAGGGAGGACGATAATATCGGACTCCAACAGCTGCATCAAGAAATTATTGATTGCAGCTGCCCAAGCTATCCTTCTGATGGTCAGATTGGTGTGGCCTGAAGCCATGGGCTTGGCAATTACACCGCAATTACCGCAATTGTGGAAAAGCTTGCATGAGCTTCTTCGTAGGACTCCTCCAGCCGTTCATTTGGCTGACGTCAACGACGATCTTGTCGGCTTATTCAACTCAGTTCCTAAACAGCAGATTTTGGACTCTTTGTCCATGCTTGTACACTTGTATACAGACAGGGAGTACCCTCCGCACATCTGTGTTTCTCTAAAAAAGCAGCCCAATTGTGAGTCTGCTTGGCATGGCAAACCCTTGGCAAAAGGTGCCAAGAACATCCGATTTCTTCATGTTTCTGATTTGTCGGCCATCGTGTCGACTTCGTTCCAGGCAGGAGTCTTCACCACCCTCGGGCTGCTGTTTCGACAGCACCGAGGCACATGTATAGGCCTTCAAATCAGCCCTGTGCTCAGCAGTCTGCCAGTGATTCAAAGAGAATCTTGTTGGCGAAGAGAGTGGACACAGTTCTTGAACTCTGCTCAATTTTTCAATACTCAAGAGTCAGAACTTTTTGTCTGTAGGTATGTCGATAATCGCTCGGTAGTGCGCGATGAGAATCTTCTTTCTCATCATGCAGTGTTTGAAGGGTTTTCAACATCTCTCTTTTTATGGACGGACAATCCAGCTTGAAGAAGTTACCTACCATCAATTTTTGGGCTTCCGGCTCAACACGGCCAACAGGACTGTGACCTACCTGCAGCCAGACAAAGCCTGGTCCATCAGGAACCCCTACTCAGCAGGAAGTTGGTCCAGTCGAGTTTCAGGATATCTTTCTCGCACGGCTTTGATTGTACAGTATGCCTGGCCTCCCAGCCAAAGACACAACCAATTGCAGGGACTTCGAAATTTGTACATAGCTCGCGGGTTTCCTGCACCAGTGTTGCATTAGATCGGCTGTAAAAGTTTATGCGGCCTCCAGCGACGCTGTACCTTTTTCAGAGAGCCTTTGAAGATGCTTCTGTCAAATGCTCTCTTTCTTAGTGCTCGGACTACAGAAAGCCCCAACACGTCTCTTTTCTAATCATTCTGAGGCATGGCGTCCTATGCGTTTCAGTTTTTCTGTGGCGACACATTGAGCAAGGGCGGATCCAAAGGCTCCGACCCACAAAGGACAATGCTGTCGCTTCCCGCCCCATCTCCAAAGACACCGCCTCCGAGGCCGAGACCCACTAGAGCACCGGGCACTTCTACCAACCCAGTGCATTTTCAGCCTTGCCATCGAGAAGGTGGATCCAAGGTACGTCGTGCCCGAGGCCGCTCCAGTTCTGGTTCGCCGGCTCTTCGGACTGTTTCTGAACGATCTCGCCGTTGTCGGCGTCGGAGCAGAACACCTGCACCTATAACCAGAGGCGGGAAGTGCCCATGTATCCACCGGGCAACTTGCAACTGGCCCAGGCGCCAATGGTTCCGCCACCGCGGCCAGTTTTTATCCTCGGCCTCTTCACAATCAGCGGGACATTTTCAGCCGCCCGTTCAAAAAGCTCCGTTTGCTGGTTGGTTTCCACCGCCGCCCCCGCCACCTCCTGATTTTCATCAGCAGAGTGTTGGACCACAGCAAGCAAGTGCTCCAACGCAAGAGCTGCTGATTCGAGTGTAGCTGGTGGCACGACTAAGTCGGCCAAGAATACGCCGGCATCAACTAATCAGTTGGCTCCGACGCAGACCCACCACATTGATGAGCAGTCGTTTCGGGACCGACAACAACTTTTGTCTTCTCCATTTCCTGACCAATGGGTCATGGCACCCTGGCAAGCGCTGCGACACAACGCAGCCAGAACAGCTCTGATACGCAAATATCAGCGCGCTTTTTCGTCTCTCAAAGATCCCGAGAGACAACGCTGCGCCAAGCTTTTGCTGAGCTTGTTTCCTGAGCCGGTGTCGGATAACACCATTGGCCGAGAAGAATTCTTTGGCTTTGTAAATTGCATTCTGCAATCCAGGCTTAATTATGCGAGGCACTTCGAAGAAGGTGCCTCTTTATTTTATGATGTTGAAGAAAACGTTGTCGGTTACAGGTTTCGGTGCACAG